TAGTAAGATACTGCAAGAACTCGCACCAATGGGTATTCTCTGAGGGCCTGAAGCTTTTGCAAGTGCCAAAAAGTCACACAGTACATCGTTCATTTTTCGCTCAAGGAATGAAACAGAAAATAGTCGTCCGACATTTTTCCAATTGCCAGCCGCAAAGGTACAGCAGAAATACGTGAGGTTGTTTATTATGGTGATGTAGGGTCACGCAAGGCAAGTAACCCAACCGCCGCTATCGACTGTGTAATTAAAATGAATACCCAGCACCTCCAACTAGCTATAATAAAAACACTGGGCTGAGAGTGGTGGTTGTGTCTGTATAGTGACAGAAGGAGCTGGATAGGCATAGGCGAAATTGCATCAAACACAGGCTAGGCAGTTCAGGCTTGTGCCTCATGCTATGTGGCTACAGCACTGCGCAGGCCTTTTCACTACAGCTGGTTTACTTGTGCCGTGGATGAGCGACTAGTGCTGCTAAGGGTCCACCAACGACGCATGTGAAACACTAATGCACCAATGTGGTCAGAAAGATTCATCGTGTGTTATTCACAGCACAACACCAGAAAACACAGACAGGGAAGGAGAAAAAGAGAAAGAAAAGACAGTGCTGACTCACAACTGTTGTTTATTGAAAAAAAAACGGGGCGAAATGTATATATATATAGGTACTGGCAGCTAATATCACGACACGCGCAGAACAAAAGGTGCACCGAGGTAGCGTTGTCATACTTTTGGCGATAATCAAGATTAGCCTAAATACCTTAATTCTTTTTCGTGCGTCTTTTCTTTCTCTTTTTCTCTTTCCCTGTCTCTGTTTTCTGGTGTTGCGCTGTAAATAAGTTCACCATGAATCCTAACCAACTGGCCCAACTTACCCCCGTCAGAAAGAACATTGTGGTGAGGAGCCACGTGACACAAATAACTCTCACTGCAATGCGATGACACTTAGACGACAGATGTGGCCTGCTGCATTTTTTCCCAGTGATTCTTGTCCATGCCAGAGTTCCTAATGAGCAGGTACTAATAGAATCACATTGATGACGAGGTGGCGACTGTAAGCTGATAGCAGTGTTCGAACTTGAGCTTGAAATTATAACAACAGAAGATTCTTAGCAATTGAAACCTCTTGTTATTAAAACAAATGTTCAATTCCTGGTTGGTTCACCATATTTTCAAAGTATCTTAAAACCACTTCATTCAAACTGCTCTATTGCAAAAATTCACTCAATTCAAACTTCTTGCTTGTCCACTATAATACGGGTTGCAGCGCAAGCACCAAAGTGCTGGAAGAAAAGCAAACGGAAGGCCGCTTTTCTTCGGGAAACGAATGGAAGGTGGTTGATTGTCCCCAGCTGGAAACACCTGCTGCCTTTGTTGCTTAGAGCCAGCCTACAATGCAGCCATACTGCAGGTGACAACAATCATGAACCAATTGAAAAAGGGAACTAAAAGATGGTCTGGCCTTGATCTATTGCACGCCGAACACTTCGTCTTTTTACCACAGTACAGTGGTGTAGCGAGAGAAAGCACCTTAAGATTGTGAAGATGCTACACGCGTTTTTTGAGGTGCAATACCGAGCACCAGTATGATCGCCATCTAAAAACTTTATTGGCAATCATGCAGAGCTGTCTATGATGCTGTAAAACAGCAAACATAGCAATATCGGCAAGTATCTTGCTTCTAGTGATATTCATGAGAACTTTGGGAACTTCTGATAGTTCAAACAAAACCCTGGGGTCGCCCCAGAAAGCTGCGAAGACCACCCAAGGGAACTTCCGACTTTCAGATCAAAGGCATCATTCTGAGCACCAAAAGTGGGATGCTCATCCCTATCGTGCCATGTATTCGGATCCTTGGGCTTTGGCTCGAGGCCAAAAATACAAACGAGGAGACGATAGCGCGCCTCAATAACAAATTGGAGGCAGCAATTTGATTAATTAAGAGAGTCACTAGCGGAAGGAAAGGCATCAAGGAATGAAACGCTGTGCATGGTCCATGCCTTCCCAACAAGCCATATCACATACGTAGCGGCCTTCGTCTGGTGGAACAAAGTGGAAAAGGACAAGATAAACACTTTTATAAGGAAGGAAAACAAATCAGCCCTACGTGTCCCATCGTACACCAGAAATGAAAAATTGATGCAACTGGGGGTCCGCAACACGTTTGACGAAGTAATTGAAGCTCAGCAAGTAGTTCAACTCGAAAGGCTCTCCAGCACGTGGGCAGGCAAAAAAAAATCATGGACAAACTGAACATCAATTACCATGGAATGAGGAGTCCCAATGAAATGCTCGACCCACATGTACAAGCCAAAATTATGACTGATTCGTTATGGAAAAACTTGCACCTGATCTACGTGTAATGAAGGAAATGCCGTGCAAAAGCAATCGTGAAAAAACCGTGTCAAGAACGAGAGCTCCCTATTCGTAGATGCAGCCAGGTACCCCCCGAAGGAAGCTTTCACGACCGTGGCGAACACGAAAGGAATTATAGCGTCGTCCAGCTCAGTCAAAACCAGGCACTGAGAAGCCGTGGAAGAAGTGGCGATAGCCCTTGCCATATCAGTAGAAGTCACAGCAGAATTATTAGCGACTCTAAACTGGCAATTCGAAACTACACAAGAGGGTAGATGTCTAGTGAAGTGGCCAGAATCCTAAATAGCAAGCCAGAGGACTAAAAGAACGGAGGCTATACATCGAGGTACTTGAAACAGATTCCAGTGCACATGGGCGAAGATGAAGAGGATCCCAAGACACATTCAAACCTGAATGAGAAGGCCCACCTTGCCGGACAAGAACTCACCATCCGCGACTGGGAACACCCATCTCAACCCTAGGGGGACCGATCCTAAGTTTGATGATAAGGATCAGTTTCTCACCTTCCACGACATATTGACCCCTACAAAAAACAAAGAGAGATACACCCACAACCCCACGCTAAACTAGATAGGTCACAAGAACAGACTGGAGACACCTACAAATGAGAACATTTCAAAACCCAGTGCACCTCGACCGCATACACCCCAAGCGATTCCCCGCCGCTGGCTGTATCCTATGTAAACGCGAATGCACCGACATGGAACACATTCTTTGGAAATGCCCACACACTACACGGCTTTTCGATCACCAAAACATGGACCTCCTTGAAATGCGTTGGCTTGACACTCTGGCTAGCTCAGAATTCAAGGACCAAATTTGGGCCATCCACCAGGCCCAGGAAGCGGTGGAAAGAAATAGTAGTAGAAGCAGCAGAGATGTACAAGGATGACAGGCAAGGATCAGCGTGCCTTCTAATGCTCAAAGAAAGAAAGAATTGTGGTTTTAGGTGTAACTCATTATAGTGCCATGTGATTTAATAACTTTTATTTATTTTTTCTACGTAACTGTTGTGTATCCTAAGAGGTGGATCTTATTTTTGGGGTGTCGTGGTTTTGTGGATGTAAAGTTGCACCAGTATGCGATTACCTATATATTTTTTGTTTCTTTAATAAATATATTTGGCAGCAGCCTACAATTAGAGAGGTCAGATACAACGTCATTGCCAAAACAGAGTGATGAGGGGGCCCATTGTGATGTGAAATCATGCATTTGGGCGTAAGTTCACCTTCATGCTAGATTATAAACTGTAAAGTTACTTTGCACGGTGAGGGTAATGACAACCGAGCTTCATCATCCTTTTTTTTTTGTGCACGCAAGACTAATGTCCATGAGCTCCACAAACAGCAGCCCAAAATTGGATAGTTAAGGTTTTGCACGGGCTAAAAATGGCAAGATATCTGAACTTAGACTACAAGCTTGTCAGATTTATAAGCTACTCTGTTAGACGACTGTTATGAGTGACAGCTTCTCAAGGCAAACCTTTTTGCATTGGTACTGAACCGACTTCTGTTCGGGAGCTATTTTAATTAATGTTAGTGGAAACGGGAAACGAAAATACATGAGAACAGTTTTTTTCTTTATAGGCACAAAATGAAGAATAAAAGTTATGCTCAATCAAGGTGCTGTCTTCTTTTTCTGATTAATAACATTGAAAACATGCCACAGCTTAATTGCATCAACAAGATTAACATAAGATTCAGCTTTAGCAGAATGATGAAATGTGCTAGTTGGTAGTGGTTCATGAATTGTTGTTGCGCAGCAGATGACGAGACAAACACAATAAGGGACTACAGGACACGTGGCGTGCAACGCCTTGCTCACCCCCCATCTTGTGATCCCTGTATCGTCGTCTCGTCATCCTCAGTGCAACAGGAATTCATGAAAGGGTCGGGTGCACTGATATTATCATAGGTTGAGAAGACAAAAAAAAAAAAAAGATGGATGTTGCCATTGGGTTGGCACAAAATTTCAAGTTAAAGATGACAGCACTTCAGCCAGTAAAGCCACACATTTCCCTAAATGAATTCGCTTGCACAATCAGTACCCTTCATTTGCTTTATGTTATAGTTCTAAGCAACACACACAGGACAGGAAGCAATGGTCAATACAAATATCAGCAACAAAGATTGGTTTAAGGTTCATCAATAAGTCAGGTAAGGTTGTACTCTTTCAGCACCTTCTATTTAGATTGTGTACTAAGAAACCACAGCCTTAAATATGGATCAGCAGGGATCGGGGCAACAACGGTAACTAACCTAAGGTATGCAGATGACAGTACATCGATAGCATTTTAGTCAAGCAATCTAGTAGTTAAATGATGACAAAATAAATGTTACTTCATGAAAAAGGTAAAAGGAAATAAGCCATCTACAAAGTATTCTGGAGGCCTCATAGAAACATGCAAAGTACCTTACAGAACTCATCAACAATATCTCAGCAGCACGTACATAGTCACACTGTCAACAGGAGTTGCCAGCAACTCTGTAGCACTTAACAAGGATATGTAACACGAATGATGCAATTAACCAGAACGCACAGTTCTGGTAGCACCAGTGATGGTCAAGCACAGTTGTCATTTCAACATAGGAAGAAAGTGTAAACTATGACGAAAGAAAAGAACCAAGTTAAAATGACACACAACGTTTAATCACACGCAAGATTTAGTTAGTCAGTTCTATGAGGGCCTCAACGACATTCCCTTGGTGCTCCCGCAGTTTGAGCTCTGCAACGGATCGAGGAATCTCCATTTCTTGCATCTGAAAAAGAAATCAAAGGATGCATGTGCGCATGCTGAATACCTGCTCTTCTTTATATCCTATGAAATGCTGCAAGTGTCTACAGAATATCAGGCAAACAGGCAAGATCAAACATACATAAATACACTGGCTAAACCAACGGCTCCTTATAGCGTCTCTAATTTTGCAGTGGTCTAGCATGTTCAAATATCTATATTGATCCCGCTGATGTAGTCGGGCGTCTGCCCAGAGGACCGGAGCCAGCCAGAGTCTCGAGGAGGTGTCGAGGAGAGGAGCCCGGAGCTGTTAATAGTAACTTTTCATTACATTATATACAGGTAGCGTGTTATTACATGATGAGAGCAGCATCATGGAAGCTCTCGACCGAAGCATGTTGGGTGCTTCTGCGAGCTTGTGAGAGCTCGTCAGGAGCGCCTCGGCGCTCGCATTTTATGTCCTGGCCTTCCCAGGATTCCCAGCAGGAAAAAAATTATGGAGGCCAGGACAGTCCAATAGATTTTGCCATCTTCACCTCCACCCCCGAAAGGGAAAGGTGAAACGCCGCTTCCTGCACGACACAGCACAGCACGAAGAAGTTGAGTCTTATGCGGAAGTCAATTTCGTAGTCTGTTGCAGTGATGGGTCTGCGGTGCCAGGCAGACTACAAATTGTGGAAATAGCGGCATCAAGGCACCACAAAGAACTTGGGAAATGCATCCGCAGATGTTTCTCAGATGCTGGACCCTTTGCCTGGGGCACCTTGACGACAAAGCAAGCCGCCTCGACAGCCAACAACTCTCCCTAATCCGTCAGTCGTGTCCAAAGGGTTTTATGAGGAGCGCCGACAACCTGGGATAACTAGGAGAACAATTTCTCTGTTGTCGCCGCTCTTGGTGCATCTCTGGGAGCGCTGACTCGGAAGGAATCAGGGTAGGCTCAATCACAATGTCTCATGCGACAAAGCAGTGTCAAGCCAGGCAGGCCGATCATAACACCGCATTGTAGTCGTCTATGTTTCATTCTTTTTTGCCCAGAACCAATCAGACTTGTGTATAATCTGAGGCAGTGCCACAAAAAATTGTAGTACTTTCGCTGTCTTTTATTAACAACGAGATGTTTGTCTAGCTTGTAGCGAAACGCCTATCCAAAGTCCATGTCAACTTGATCAGCACCCAGTTTTCTCTTATTTTCTTTAATATTTCTTCTGCATTTTCTTCTTTTTAATTCCATACAAAGCGCACGTTATGTGAGTTAATGTGTAGCAAAAACTGGTAGCACGAAATGTTTCAAATGTAAGCACCCTGAAAGTCATAGTTTTGTTTGAAAATAGTAGTAAACATGCAACATGTGTTTAGCTGGCAGTGGAATATGCTTGTGTCATGTGGAATTCATCAGACATCACTCTGATTGACCATTCAAAAAATCATGCAACATTGACCAGCTAAGTCTGCCCTGAGCCAATAGGGCGGAGATGAGAGCGTGCTATTGTCTGGGAGTATTTTTCTGTACCTCAACAGGGTACAAAACGGGGCAAGGTATCTACAGCATGTGATGGAACAAGTCAATCGACAAACTTAAATGACACCATAAAAATTGGCAATTGACAACAATCTACACCACCTACAGGAAGCAACCAGACAAAGCATAACGAAAATAGGAAGAAGCAACAACACAACTAAAAGCTCAGTGAGTACACAGCCCATCTCATGGAGGCTGTCAATGTGTATTCACAAGAGCTGTGCACTACCTACTAGAGGAAATTTTAAGACTTTCTGCTAGAAAATCAAAGCACAGTGAAAACGTGGGCACTCATTAACAATACGAACCCTCCTGAAAACTCGTGAAGAGCAACAACACGCCTCTTGCAGAGAGAAGCTAATTCTTATTCAGGCTCAGATGCAGAGCTTCTTGAGCTTCAAAACATGTAGTCGAGAGATCTATCGCCATATCAAGCTACATGAGTTTAGAAATCCCTGCCCTCGATAAGCCGATATCGCTCACAGAAGTGTATGTTGCAGCATGATCTTTCAAGAACACTGAACCTGAACAGGATCGTATCACACACACCATGGTCAGAAACTTGGCTACTAAAACCCTACAGAAGTTAACAGAGCTCCTTCATGACAAAATTCAAAATTTTTAAGACAGGAGGATGAATACGTCATGAATGAAAAGAGGCTGAGGTAATGCATATACACAAGCCAAAAAAACCAAGAACTGTCTCAGAATCTCTGAAGAGTCTCATTAACAGCCCAGGTAAAGTTTTCAAGAAAGCCGCATGACTTGACAGGTACTCAAATGACAATGAACTCCTACCTAATTCTCCGCTTGGTTTCTGACCAAGCATTTTGACGCAGAACACCTTCCTTATCCTTTGGGACAAAGTTCCGAGCCCGCCACTGAGAAGAACAGATCCAATCCTGCTGGCAACGAATTTGTGAAAAGCCTCGGATGACATATCTCATAACGCCATATCGACCAGCCTACAAAAGATAGGTTGTAGGAAAAGAATATGCAGCTGCATGCAGCATTTTCTCAACCACAGAACAGCTAGCATGCGTAGGTCTGGGCCACCTAAGCATGGACAGGACTAGCAGAGAGAACAAGTAGACAATACACAGGGCTGTACAGTGTCCCTCCTCATTTTCAACACAGGGATCCAAATATTAGCTCTGACGTTGAAGCAAGACTCAAAACTTACTAATAGCCATCTATGCCGACATCACCCTTTGGGCAATGAAGGGGACCGGCAGGACAACCTACAAAGATTTGTCGACACGACTCAAGAACATCTGAAGAAAAAGGGCATGATATGTATGCAAAAAAATATGTTAGTTCATACAGATCAGACTCAAAAACACTTGGTTAACACATTTCCCAATCCTGAACCTGGGGCAGAATAAAAATCAGACAAAGCAAGTGCAGAAGCTTAGGGTGCCGGGATTGTTGATACGAGAGACGGGCTGTGTGTTGCCAAAATGAAGTAAAACACACGGCCGAAAGCGTAACAGCACTTATAAGAAGAATCGCCAGCAATAATGAGCAAGGGTCAAAGCATGAGTAGAGCAGGCCAACATACTTATGCATGTGGCCCACCAAGCTGCTGTAGGCCTCCCCAACTGCACTGACTTAGAGCACTTAAAAAGCCTGCGCATTTAGAGTACACACAACGAATACTCCACAACACATTTTGGTCGCACGCAGAAACTCAGCTTGACAATGCAAGGCAGTACTGCTAAAGAAATTATGCCAGCTCTCGGCACTCCGATTTTGTAGGATGCATCAAATACCCAGCGAAGACTACAAACAAACACATGCCACTCTAATACCAAAAGTCATGCGCATTATAGTTAACAACAGGCCCAGATGAGCGAGAGAGGTGGCACTGGAAAGGCTACAAAATGATCCAGACATCTACTACACAGACCCAAGTTCTCACCAATAAAGGCAAACAGCATTTCTTGTGTCATCACCAGAAGAAACCAAGCGATACTGGCTACCAAGAGCACAACCGTAACAGAAAGGGCAGCAATGGCACTAGCCATCCGAGGAGTAAAAGGCCAAAGGCAATCCCCACAGACTTTCATATGCAGCAGCACTGCCAATTGTTTCTCAGAGACCTCCTTCCCCAGAGAATCCAACACATACTGAGATTGAACCTCCAATGCCATGGGATCAGTTGCTGCCCCGCTCACAAAGCTGCAGTGAGAAATGAATGGGCGGCCTGCCTCGCTCGAGCATTAACTTCATGAGCCGCAGACATGCCGACCCCAACAAAATATCTCATACCAAGGATGACGCCTGATATCGAGAGCCAAGAGAATCACAGTATATCCACGGAGTGAATGATGATGAGTGGGGCGAAGCACTTGGGGGTTTCATCGCTAAATTGTGACCTTCCTTTCCCCCTTCATTATAACGCCTTTATGGTCGGTGAAGTGGTGGATCGGTGATGGGGCGTAGTGAGATGTTTGCAAGGACTAAGTAGTGGACAGTTTGCAAAGGTGTAACTATAGGCTGTTACGCACAAACAAGGGTTGGACACTGTGGGACAATCTATGATTTTTTTAAGGCGCACCTGAATACAAGTACACGACCATCTTGCATTTCATATTGGCTACTTCTCAACTTGCTTGCTTGCTTTATGGTCGGTGAAGTGGTGGTTCGACGATGGGGCTGTAAGGACTGGCATCGCAGGCCAGGGGGGTAAGTCTTCTTTATTGCAGAAGGGTGCGCTTCCCAAAGAGTCGATTCTTGGGAGACGATAATCCCGGCGTAAAAACATCCGTTCTGGTAAGAAGATCGTGGTTCGTCGCCACTTTTGACAACCAGCTAGGTGGTCCCCAGCCAGCGAAGTGCCGGCAGGCGACTTGAGGACATCCAGTGTATTGGCACCCATCCATCTGGATTAAGAGTTCGTGGGACAGCTGTCACGCTGGACAGCGTAGTCATCTTGCAGTAATGGCAGGAGACCCGCAGCCGAACCGGCGCCATCATTGTGTGCGTTTGACAGTTCGCGGAACGTAGTGTGCAGGCCGGTACTGGGGCATAGTGGGATGTTTGCAAGGACAAAGTAGTGGGCAGTTTGCAAAGGTGGAACTAAAGGTGGTCACGTACATACATACAAGTAATGGACAGACTCACGCCTTTAGGTGCTTCGCCCCAAAATGTGTGGCAGACTATGGCGCCACCTTACCATAGTCTTACACAGTGGTAATCCAGGAACTGGAGATGTCTACAAGCCAACATGTATCCCAACATACACATCCTCAGCAATCATGTTTAGAGGAAAAGCTTCTTAAAGGAACACCAAAGAGAAACAACAACTTGCTTTTTGATGAACAAACTGCCCTTTGAAAATTTTAATGCCATGTTTTATATAGGTTCATTATTAAGAAAAAAATCAAACTTGAAATTTAATTTTTAAATTTTACACCCCAATCTCCGCGCGTAAAGTTACAAATTTCAAAATGCATTTTTCGTATTTTCGTAATACTCGCTCAAAAAACTTTCCGAAACTTCATTTGCGAAAACTATGTATGCCACCCACAGATTACCTTGCACTTCATTTTTATTGGTTAGAAACAATGTAGAACCAATTGAGTGCTTCAAAGTCTGTTACATCACAATGTTTGGTGCCAAAATCTTAAGGCGGCATCGCCACCCACATTTTTTTTTAGCGCGTTTCGTCACGGTAAATGTGGTGTTTTTGGGATTGCGACATTGTACCTCACTAATACACTGAAAATTGTTTTGCCCTTTGTCTGTCTTTCAGCGCTTGAAAAACAAAGACAGTGAAGATACTGACAGGACAGTGCTACCCGTCAGTTACTTCAGTCTTCTGTCTTCATTTCTTATGTGCTTAAAAGAACAGGGTAGGGCTTAATATAAAAAAATCGAAACTTGGTTTCTTGCTTGTTTGGAATGATAAGACCTTCCTTAACAATATCCAGAGCCCCACAAATGTTTGTGCATTTTAACTGAGTCCCGTTTTTGCGATCAACTAGCGAGCAGCCAAGCCCCCTTTTTTCAGACCGTGGATCTGAGCTTTCTTCTTCGCATGAATTTTTTTTTTAATCATAATTGATAGTTTCTCTGAGCTTAGCAGGTTTTCAAAAAAAAAGTATACCAGCAGCCTGGAGGCACATGATGCAATTTTTTTTTTAACAGGCCTGGAATTTCCAGACTGATATGTGTGAGATGGTATGTGTGAGACCCTCATGGAGACACGGCCCTGATTGATTTGTAGGGTTTAACGTCCCAAAACCACCATATGATTATGAGAGACGCCGTAGTGGAGGGCTCCGGAAATTTCGACCACCTGGGGTTCTTTAACGTGCACCCAAATCTGAGCACACGGGCCTACGACATTTCCGCCTCCATCGGAAATGCAGCCGCCGCAGCCGGGATTGAAGACACGGCTCTGTGCACAAATATTGAGTTAAGTTACACCTTTGATGACTTTGCTGCAGTAGCAAGAATTATTATTGTGTTGACAAATTAAAGAAACTCACCAGAAAACGCACTATACAGTTGAAGACCTTTACAAGAGGCACTGATATGACCGACAACTCGGTATAGGAGACACCACAGTTTGCTGAACATGTTATTTATTTGTGGCGCAAAGCTTGAAGCATGAAGACGGGAAAGGAATAAGAAGACAGATGAGCGCTCTTCTGTCTTTGTTTTTTTTGCCAGTCTTCATCTTCCAGGCTTTGAGCCATAAATAACATGTTCAGCAAACTTACGCACCAACTTGCACAGAAAGAAAGTTATTCTAGTAGAACTCACTGTTGGGCAAGTTGGTGCGAATTCCTAGGTTATTCTAGTCACCAGAGTGCTGACATTGAAATAGGGGTTGATAACAAAATGCATACATGGCATATATAAGACACCTCATATAAGGGACAAGAATTTTTACCCAGTACATGTGTCTTATCAAGGGGTTTAACTGCATTTGGAAGTTGACCCGCTTTCAGCTTCTTAGTCAAACAAGACTGCGACCACTTCAGCAGGTAAGCTTTTACTCACACCACATTGTAACAAGGATGAAATGTTACCTGCAGTGTCTCAGTTTTGACTCATGTGCATCTTCTCCAAATTATGATTATAAGTAAATGTGTCTGCACAGAATGCGGAAGAACCGTGGTGCTCGTTGATAACACAACGGTTTTTGTTCCTTGGAAGGGAAATCCTCGAAACTGCACTTTTGAAACCGCTTCAGCTTTCCAAAAAGCAAGCATGGCTCGAGTAAATGTCCTCAAGGCCGTTCGGAATATCAACGAGGTGCAACACAGCAATATTATTGGGTGATGTATTCGACCAGTAGATTCACAGAAGTCTAAGACAAAACAAGCCAGAAAACTACGATAACAAGAAGTGAAAATTTGATTTGTATGGTGACTATATGGCACATTGTTATTATTTAAATCATTCAGTACATCTTCTTTTTCAACAGAACATAAAATAAACTTGTTGTTCCTGTTTACCATCAATATCTTGAACTTGTTTTTCCATTACCATTGCTCTGTTATCCAAAACAACTTCACAAGAACAGAAGGCTGTTTTTTTTCTTTTTAGGAAAAGGGTGTGCCTGTTTTATTGCAACTTCCTAGTTATAATGATTTTGGCAGAAGGGTGTGATTTATAAATACATAAGAAAATTTTAAAGGGCTTTTCAGGAACGAAACAGTGGTGCCATCTCTCGTGGCAATGGCTACACAAACTAAAAGCGACATTTTCCTACTAACACCGACAGTTCAACCACTTCACCACAAAGCTTACTAGACACTTCTTGCCTGGAATCGCGGAAGACGAGGTTCTTGATTTACACTAAACTAAACATCTGCATGGGGCACCCAGAGCCCATATTAAAGTGTATGCATCAGAAGACACCATTTCTAAGTGAAATATTAAAATGATCAAGTTGGAAGTCTAGGCACAACAGTAGCCTATACTTGGCACACATATATAAGTGACATTCAGTAGGCACACTTTCTTTCTGTTTTAGTACTCACAATGAGCTCCACGTCTTCCTTCTTGATGACCACCTTGGAGAGTTCCTTTTGCCGTGCCGCCTTCTCTGCTGTTTCTTTCGAGTGTCGATCGCCAATCATGGACATAGCCTTGAGTAAAAATTTTTTTAAAGTACGTTTCATTAGACAAGCACTCTTCAATTTTCATGACAATGCTTGTTCCATTTATGATGCTCTCGCTTTCAAGATAACAATGTGAGCTAAGTTAGAAAAAACACGGTGAAGATACATATTCATATATGACTGTGCACCTGGCAATGGATACCTGATGGCCTTAAGGGTTCCAGTTGGATGAAATAAAGCACAACTCCATAATGAAACGTGCCAGTAACTTCCGTACAGTAGTTGTCCAGTTTTCTTCATTTATCTAATTAACTACAACAAACATTCATTTGGAAATCACGTGTAACAAGCACCTACACTTATAGCGATCACTGATGCTTCTAATGATTACAGGAATGGTGTAACACTGAAATTTGCCTGCTTTGCAGTGTTTCGTATCTCTATGAGCTTGAGCTGTTGTCGGCAGGTCGTGCGAGAGCAACAATTACACTCGGAGAACTGCTGTCGTGTGGCATCAGCTGATCAGATCGTTCACTCTGCAATGTCCTTTCAAACTGAGGAATGGGAGTTCCAGAATACACTGCCCCACCAACCTTCGCCACAAGGAAAATTTTAAGGAGTGCTTGTTTTTCAAGGCTATATTTACTATAATGCCTCAAGGCATGTGAGTTTCTAGACTGTTAAAACTGCCGCTTTCAAAGTGGCACTTACGCAGGCTTTTTTACGCCGGGCTTACATAATGAATGGTAAACTTTTTTTTGTCTCCGTGTTTTCGAGAGAACTAACCAACGCCGACATCGTGAACGGTAGCAGTCGAAATTATACCAGTTATAATTTGGCCACAGCCAGGTCTCTTTGTTTATACTTTGATTGAAGACTTCTCTGGATCTTTCTTTTCTTGGGAACAACTGCGGCGCGGGAGCTTTCGTTGCGAACACGATCGATCTGCTCACTTTGGTAGCGGCACAAGAATGCGCAAACGGCACACGTTCCTAACGACCACAGGTTTATAATACTGGCACACTGAACACAGAGAACCACGATTCGTTTTAAGTAGAGAAGAAACACCGCCCGCGGCAACCGGTTTGCTTACTTGACTGTGCTGCGATGGGAGAGATCGCATTGTTAAAAGATACACTCGTGCGGCCGATAATAACACTTAGTGCAAACGGTACTCCACAGATTGAAGAGGTGCACTTACACACATAATGTCCTGCGATCGAATTTCTTTGTCTTCGGCATAGTCGGTGACTTTCTCGAGGTCTGCGGCACCGCTGTCGTGCTTGGCGACTTTTTTCTGCGGCTTCTGCTGCTCGTCGCCCCCGGCATCCTCCGTGTCGTCCGACATGCTTGCTCACTTTTGGTAAAAGTCCGTCAACAAACGGACGGCTCGACAAAGTAAGTGCGACGGGAGCAACGGTCTAAAAGGAACCTCGCTTCGCGACGGTTTAGCCTGTGGTTTAGCAGCACGCGTAGCTTTCGCGCACGCCTCTATGCTGCCATGTTGATCTTCAGGATTCCCTAGCGGCGTCGGAGGAAACCAACGAAATTGAAAAAGACACTGGTTTCGATTTCGAAGTGATATGTGTTAGTCGCATAATCCTCGAAACGTCTTCGAAACTAGATCTACCTTTGTTTATATTGTTGAACCTCTATCGCTCTGCCTAATCAAGGGTTTAGAGAATTTCGATTAGACTAAGAGGCAGCGCGATTCATTGTGCTCATCAAACATGTCAAATGAATCGTGTGAGTCCTTGTCGTGTGTCAAGGCAGCTAGCCTAGATGCACGAAGCGCGTGAATCGCTTCGACTTTTCGTGGTTTCATGTCGTTACCGAAATTTGACCGGTCCCAGATGGTTGCACAAAACAGTCATTTTCGGCACCTGGAGGGCAGCAAAGCTAGAAAGCACAGGTTTGAGAAGCCCAACATGTTCATTTTACACGATCACGAATGTAATTTGTGCAAAGCTTGTAAAGTATGAAAGCATATACCTAAAGGAATATATTTTGTGAAGAGTTTACATGTGACAATGGCTTTGCGAAACGTTTGACGGAAAGAGTTGTTAAGATGATACCGGTAATCTGTCGGAGCCTTGCTTTGAACGAAAGTTGGTTCGCGGCATGTGTTTTTATTCGCCTGATTCTTGGGCGTACGTTGGGTGGTTTGATGATCTATTACACTATGTGCCTATGACAAACTTGAACGTGTAGACAGATGTAAAGTCTAATGACAAAAAAACATGAAATGTTACCTCAACATTGGCTTTGGTATTATCAAGGATTAGGCTGCTTTTTAACAATGCGTTTCCACATGGCCGCTATAGCTCAGTGGCAGAGCGCTGGTCTTGTAAACCAGCGGTCGTGAGTTCGATCCTCACTGGCGGCTTAAGTTTTTTTACCTTCTCTTTTGCTTTTTTTTTTTTTTTCTTTTATGAGGTTTTGCATCGGCATTCTCCTGCAAATTTCTGGTACTTTTCGCATCGACAATCGTGCAGAAAAAGAAACGGCCTGCACATGGGCATGGAAGGCACTTCTGCGCAAACTATCGTTTGCTCCTCAAGGGTTTTTTTTTCTGTATCACGTCAGCTTTTCGGATTTCGAAGATCGCTTGAATAGTTACGAACCTTTAAAAGAATGAAAAAATCGTAACTGTCTTCCGGAGCACTTCTATTATGTGTTTCTTCGGGATGCATGTTTCCGGTTCTATGTCTGCGCGAACAATAAGCAACAAATTGCTGGAAGGCCCTCAGCCCAACGAGAAGGCTGGGTGGGTCCCCTTTCAATGCTTAAGACGACCGCCCTCATGCACCATGCTCACCGATGCACACATCCGAAAACCTGCAGTACCAGCCGTTAAGCTCATGACGGCAGTCCGGAGCGTGGTCATCGTTTAATTAGACACCATGAGATTAAAAACCGACAGAGAAGAATGCCAGAGAAACTATAGGTGGCGTGGTCTGGAGCAGTCTGGAGTGCGCGCAGGCTTGTGTTGCTGTGCATCCGTTAATGGTGGCTACCGTCTTGGATGAGTAACGCCGGGAATTAGATAGATAGATAGATAGATAGATAGATAGATAGATAGATAGATAGATAGATAGATAGATAGATAGATAGATAGATAGATAGATAGATTCGCTCCGTTTATTCACAATCGCCTGCATCAAACTTTACTTGCAATCCCCATCAATATGTATGTAGTATATGCCGTGCTGCATTTTAGTGCAGCTAAGAGGTTAACGTAATGCAAATATTGTTTTATCGGCGACGTTTCTGTTCTGCAATGTTGACGAAGAGGGTAGTAGAAGAGTTCATCCCCTTCAAATATCTCTCTCTCTCTCTATATATATATATATATATATATATATATATATATATATATATATATATATATATATATATATATATATATATATATATATATATGTGTGTGTGTGTGTGTGTGTGTGTGTGTGTGTGTGTGTGAAAGAACACAACAATTATTCTGAGCGCTATGCCTTTATCAGTAAAAGGCAGGTCCCAGGACGGACCAAAGCTCAGAATAAATAATAAACGTCGTGTTACCCCGTCGCTCCGGAATAGAAATATTCTGGCTACACTGCTGGGCTAATTGGTATTCCATTGAAAACATCCCTCTCTGTGCTTTCGGCGTTTAAGCTCACGATAGCAACGAACCTCCACTAAGAACGCGTGCGTCGTGGGTCTGTCGTATTGCGTGCACGACGACTTCGGCGATAAGCGACGCGCCGCCGCCGTGGCCGCTATAGCTCAGTGGCAGAGCGCTGGTCTTGTAAACCAGCGGTCGTGAGTTCGATCCTCACTGGCGGCTTAAAGTTTTTTTTTTTTTCTTCCACTGACGTTGTGTGTTTTGTTTTTCTCTTTTAAAACTTTTTTGCGATCAAGTGCGATCCCACATGCTTTATGGAACTACTGTTACATTTGTGCTGAGATTACACGCACACCCTTTTTTAAGGGCTTTCTTTAAATATAATGAATGATTAAAAAACACAGCGCAAACAACGGCAGGAAGAAAGGAAGAGACAGGACAGAGCGCTGACTTACAACTGATCTTTATTAGGAAATGCGAACAAATATATATCATGGCAGGCAAATAACACGTGTCCACCACAATATCAAAAATTCGCACAAGCGTCACCATCACCATATCGCTACTGTCTCACCGCACACGTGTTCATCCTACAGATAAGAAGTCCATCTCTTTTTGAGAGAGGGTTACAGATGCCCTACTTACACATTGATCTTTCAGACGTGCAATTTCAGCCGCTTCCATTATCTCCCTAGTTTTTCTTTCTTTGTGCCTGGCTAGGATTTTAGTGTCGCGAAACTGCGGTGTGCACCCACAACCGGCTTTCGTGAAGAGAAACCTGGTGGAAAGCTATGTTCCTTGAGAAATAAGCGTGGACTGTGACAGCTGAGTGTGGTTGTATGCAGGTGGTCGGTAATGAGGAAGCTAGTCCTTGCCGTAGCCGTTAAAACAGGCAATCATCTCTTCCCTGATCTTTTGCCATTATTCATCGTTTTCGAATATTTGTCTCAGATAAAACTTAAATGCTCACTGGATATGGTGATGGTGACGCTTGTGCGAATTTTTGATATTGTGGTGGACACGTGTTATTTGCCTGCCATGATATATATTTGTTCGCATTTCCTAATAAAGATCAGTTGTAAGTCAGCGCTCTGTCCTGTCTCTTCCTTTCTTCCTGCCGTTGTTTGCGCTGTGTTTTTTAATCATGTATTTGAACCAACTCGCCCAAGCTTTAACCTTAGCAATATAATGAAGTTTTCATAATACTAGCTCAATATCTGACTATATATATATATATATATATATATATATATATATATATATATATATATATATATATATATATATATATATATATATATATATATATATATATATGACGCTATGATAAATGGCAGACGTGGCCGGGCTCGTACGCCATGTTCATTTCAAAGCACTTCCTCTTCCTCGGCTTCGCTTCTACCAACCATCGCTACCTTTTTACGTCACATGATTCCCCCTCCTTCCGAAAGAATGCACGAGCTACAATTTATAAAACATGAACAAGTGGAGTCTCATAATAAAAAAAAAGAATGCCAGAAAATGCAGTAATTTCATGTCACATGGCGGTTCCATGCACTTGCACAAAAATGTTCACAGTAAAGGCACTCCGGTGATATCTAGGAGACCTCAAGTGGGCGAGGCTGGCTGTTGCGTTATGGAGAGCATAAGTATGCCCTGAGCGTAGAAACTGATGAAATAGCTGCCATTATTGCGAGGAGTTGACGACGTTTGCAGGCACTGCAGCAGATAGGTCTTCGTTGGCGTCGCTGTCTTTACTGCGTACGTGCTCGTTGTCGTAAACTAATGGTATGGTGCCTGAATGTTTTCGTGGTATAACTGGTGACTTCTTGTCTTGTTCGGTGTTTCCTGAAGTTCTGGAGCTGTAATCTTAGGCGCAGTGTTGATCTTTTATGCCAAATGCGTTTCTGGCGCCGATCCCTTAGGCGAAGATGCCTCGCTTCTTGAATTTGTTTTAAGAGGCTTGCTTTGCGTCGTCTTCCTTGTTGGTGTGTCTGCGATTCACGGACTTGCTTTTGCTGGCGCTGCCGATGTTACTGTGGACCGTACTGCGGTGGAAGCCCTTCTTGAACATCGCGCTGGTTTTCATGACAACCTGATGGGGTGTCTAGTCGGCAGCTGGTAGTCTGTGAGCTGTTGTCATGCAGTTCGGGCAATGAAGATGATGCTTCAGAGTTGATAGAAAGTGCTTCGGAAGCTTTTTCTACACTATTTACTATGAGGCTCTTGCGCATGGCAGCGTGCGACGTTCGATGCGTTTGAGCCTTCGGTGTTGCTTCTACTGTCGAGTGTGTATGCACCGGACGGCGATGCATGAACCCGTGTGGAAGGAGCATAATTCAACTGGGTATTTTCTCGGTTTGTCAACTCGTCTATCGGGAACACGGTGTCCTTATGAGGCAAACGGTGAGCGCCAGGAGCGCTAGAAGAGCCGCGTGATGGAAAACCGGGTGGTGGACCATGTATGCGAGACGAAAAATGAAGTGCATGAGGTGGGTAAGCAACGTCTCGTGTCGTGTGCTGGAGCGACGACTTTGAAAATACCGGCTTTCGTGAAGAGAAACCTGGTGGAAAGCTATGTTCCTTGAGAAATAAGCGTGGACTGTGACAGCTGAGTGTGGTTGTATGCAGGTGGTCGGTAATGAGGAAGCTAGTCCTTGCCGTAGCCGTTAAAACAGGCAATCATCTCTTCCCTGATCTTTTGCCATTATTCATCGTTTTCGAATATTTGTCTCAGATAAAACTTAAATGCTCACTGGAGATGTAGTCAGTGAAGTTGGCCATCATCCCCCGTTCCGACCATGATGCAGCGGTAGCGTGGAGCTCGAACAGGTAGAACCAGTCTTGCACGGCTCCATCGTCCGCTGCTCCGGTGTACTTGGGGATGGGAACGTCAATCGATGATTCCGTCATGATGCTCG